AAACTCCCCTTAAACACCACCAAACCTCCCCTTAAACACCACCAAACCTCCCCCTTAAACACCACCAAACTCCCCTAAACACCACCAAACCTCCCCTTAACACCAACCAAAACCTCCCCTTAAACACCACCAAACCTCCCCCTTAAACACCACCAAACCTCCCCTTAAACACCACCAAACCTCCCCTTAAACACCACCAAACCTCCCCCTTAAACACCACCAAACCTCCCCTTAAACACCACCAAACCTCCCCCTTAAACACCACCAAACCTCCCCCTTAAACACCACCAAACCTCCCCTTAAACACCACAAACCTCCCCTTAAACACCACCAAACCTCCCCCTTAAACACCACCAAACCTCCCCCTTAAACACCACCAAACCTCCCCCTTAAACACCACCAAACCTCCCCCTTAAACCACCAAACCTCCCCTTAAACACCACCAAACCCCCCCTTAAACACACCAAACCTCCCCTTAAACACCACAAACCTCCCCCTTAAACACCAAAAACCTCCCCTTAAACACCACCAAACCTCCCCCTTAAACACCACCAAACCTCCCCTTAAACACCACCAAACCTCCCCCTTAAACACCACCAAACCTCCCCCTTAAACACCACCAAACCTCCCCTTAAACACCACCAAACCTCCTCCTTAAAACACCACCAAACCTCCCCTTAAACACCACCAAACCTCCCCTTAAACACCACCAAAGCCTCCCCTTAAACACCACCAAACCTCCCCCTTAAACACCACCAAACCTCCCCCTTAAAACACCACCAACCTCCCCCTTAAACACCACCAAACCTCCCCCTTAAACACCACCAAACCTCCCCTTAAACACCACCAAACCTCCCCCTTAAACACCACCAAACCTCCCCTTAAACACACCAAACCTCCCCCTTAAACACCACCAAACCTCCCCTTAAACACCACCAAACCTCCCCTTAAACACCACCAACCTCCCCCTTAAACACCACCAAACCTCCCCCTAAACACCACCAAACCTCCCCTTAAACACCACCAAACCTCCCCCTTAAACACCACCAAACCTCCCTAAACACCACCAAACCTCCCCCTTAAACACCACCAAACCTCCCCCTTAAACACCACCAAACCCCCCCTTAAACACCACCAAACCTCCCCCTTAAACACCACCAAACCTCCCCTTAAACACCACCAAACCTCCCCTTAAAAACACCAACCTCTCCCCTTAAACACCACCAACCTCCCCCTTAAACACCACAAACCTCCCCCTTAAACACCACAACCTCCCCCTTAAACACCACCAAACCTCCCCTTAAACACCACCAAACCTCCCCCTTAAACACCACCAAACCTCCCCTTAAACACCACCAAACCTCCCCCTTAAACACCACCAAACCTCCCCTAAACACCACCAAACCTCCCCCTTAAACACCACCAAACCTCCCCCTTAAACACCACCAACCTCCCCCTTAAACACCACCAAACCTCCCCACACACCAAACCTCCCTTAAACACCACCAAACTCCCCTTAAACACCACCAAACCTCCCCCTTAAACACCACCAAACCTCCCCCTTAAACACCACCAAACCTCCCCTTAAACACCACCAAACCTCCCCCTTAAACACCACCAAACCTCCCCTTAAACACCACCAAACCTCCCCCTTAAACACCACCAAACCTCCCCCTTAAACACCACCAAACCTCCCCTTAAACACCACCAAACCTCCCCCTTAAAACACCACCAAACCTCCCCTTAAACACCACCAAACCTCCCCCTTAAACACCACCAAACCTCCCCTTAAACACACCAAACCTCCCCCTTAAACACCACCAAACCTCCCCCTTAAACACCACCAAACCTCCCCTTAAACACACCAACCTCCCCTTAAACACCACCAAACCTCCCCCTTAAACACCACCAAACCTCCCCCTTAAACACCACCAAACCTCCCCCTTAAACACCACCAAACCTCCCCCTTAAACACCACCAAACCTCCCCCTTAAACACCACCAAACCCCCTTAAACACCACCAAAACCTCCCCCTTAACACCACCAAACCTCCCCTTAAACACCACCAAACCTCCCCCTTAAACACCACCAAACCTCCCCCTTAAACACCACCAAACCTCCCCCTTAAACACCACCAAACCTCCCCCTTAAACACCACCAAACCTCCCCCTTAAACACCACCAAAACCTCCCCCTTAAACACCACCAAACCTCCCCCTTAAACACCACCAAACCTCCCCCTTAAACACACCAAACCTCCCCCTTAAACACCACCAAACCTCCCCCTTAAACACCACCAAACCTCCCCCTTAAACACCACCAAACCTCCCCCTTAAACACCACCAACCTCCCCCTTAAACACCACCAAACCTCCCCTTAAACACCACCAAACCTCCCCTTAAACACCACCAAACCTCCTCCTTAAACACCACCAAACCTCCCCCTTAAACACCACCAAACCTCCCCTTAAACACACCAAACCTCCCCCTTAAACACCACCAAACCTCCCCCTTAAACACCACCAAACCTCCTCCTTAAACACCACCAAACCTCCCCCTTAAACACCACCAAACCTCCCCTTAAACACCACCAAACCTCCCCTTAAACACCACCAAACCTCCCCTTAAACACCACCAAACCTCCCCCTTAAAACCACACAAACCTCCCCCTTAAACACCACCAAACCTCCCCCTTAAACACCACCAAACCTCCCCTTAAACACCCCCAAACCTCCCCCTTAAACACCACCAAACCTCCCCTTAAACACACCAAACCTCCCCCTTAAACACCACCAAACCTCCCCCTTAAACACACCAAACCTCCCCCTTAAACACCACCAAACCTCCCCCTTAAACACCACCAAACCCCCCTTAAACACCACCAATCCCCCTTAAACACCACCAAACCTCCTCCTTAAACACACCAAACCTCCCCCTTAAACACCACCAAACCTCCCCCTTAAACACCACCAAACCTCCCCCTTAAACACCACAAACCTCCCCCTTAAACACACCAAACCTCCCCTTAAACACCACCAAACCTCCCCCTTAAACACCACCAAACCTCCCCCTTAAACACCACCAAACCTCCCCCTTAAACACCACCAAACCTCCCCCTTAAACACCACCAAACCTCCCCCTTAAACACCACCAAACCTCCCCCTTAAACCCACCAAACCTCCCCTTAAAACACCACCAAACCTCCCCCTTAAACACCACCAAACCTCCCCCTTAAACACCACCAAACCTCCCCCTTAAACACCACCAAACCTCCCCCTTAAACACCACCAAACCTCCCCTTAAACACCACCAAACCTCCCCTTAAACACCACCAAACCTCCCCCTTAAACACCACCAAACCTCCTTAAACACCACCAAACCTCCCCTTAAACACCACCAAACCTCCCCCTTAAACACCACCAAACCTCCCCCTTAAACACCACCAAACCTCCCCCTTAAACACCACCAAACCCCCCCTTAAACACCACCAAACCTCCTCCTTAAACACCACCAAACCTCCCCTTAAACACCACCAAACCTCCCCTTAAACACCACCAAACCTCCCCTTAAACACCACCAAACCTCCCCTTAAACACACCAAACCTCCCCTTAAACACCACCAAACCTCCCCCTTAAACACCACCAAACCTCCCCCTTAAACACCACCAAACCTCCCCCTTAAACACCACCAAACCTCCCCCTTAAACACCACCAAACCTCCCCCTTAAACACCACCAAACCTCCCCCTTAAACACCACCAAACCTCCCCCTTAAACACCACCAAAACCTCCCCCTTAAACACCACCAAACCTCCCCCTTAAACACCACCAAACCTCCCCCTTAACACCACCAAACCTCCCCCTTAAACACCACCAAACCTCCCCTTAACACCACCAAACCTCCCCCTTAAACACCACCAAACCTCCCCTTAAACACCACCAAACCTCCCCCTTAAACACCACACCAACCTCCCTTAAACACCACCAAACCTCCCCCTTAAACACCACCAAACCTCCCCCTTAAACACCACCAAACCTCCCCCTTAAACACCACCAAACCTCCCTTAAACACCACCAAACCTCCCCCTTAACACCACCAAACCTCCCCCTTAAACACCACCAAACCTCCCCTTAAAACACCAAAACCTCCCCCTTAAACACCACCAAACCTCTTAAACACCACCAAACCTCCCCTTAAACACCACCAAACCTCCCCTTAAACACCACCAAACCTCCCCTTAAACACCACCAAACCTCCCCCTTAAACACCACGCAACCTCTCCCTTAAACACCACCAAACCTCCCCCTTAAACACCACCAAACCTCCCCTTAACACCACCAAACCTCCCCTTAAACACCACCAAACCTCCCCCTTAACACCACCAAACCTCCCCCTTAAACACCACCAAACCTCCCCCTTAAACACCACCAAATCCTCCCCCTTAAACACCACCAAACCTCCCTTAAACACCACCAACCTCCCCCTTAAACACACCAAACCTCCCCTTAAACACCACCAAACCTCCTTAAACACCACCAAACCTCCCCCTTAAACACCACCAAACCTCCCCCTTAAACACCACGAAACCTCCCCCTTAAACACCACCAAACCTCCCCTTAAACACCACCAAACCTCCCCTTAAACACCACCAAACCTCCCCCTTAAACACCACCAAACCTCCCCTTAAACACCACCAAACCTCCCCCTTAAACACCACCAAACCTCCCCCTTAAACACCACCAAACCTCCCCTTAAACACCACCAAACTTCCCCCTTAAACACCACCAAACCTCCCCCTTAAACACCACCAAACCTCCCCCTTAAACACCACCAAACCTCCCCTTAAACACCACCAAACCTCCCCTTAAACACCACCAAACCCCCTTAAACACCACCAAACCTCCCCTTAAACACCACCAAACCTCCCCCTTAAACACCACCAAACTCCCCCTTAAACACACAACCTCCCCCTTAAACACCACCAAACCTCCCTTAAACACCACCAAACCTCCTCCTTAAACACCACCAAACCTCCTCCCTTAAACACCACCAAACCTCCCCCTTAAACACCACCAAACCTCCCCTTAAACACCACCAAACTCTCCCCTTAAACACCACCAAACCTCCCCCTTAAACACCACCAAACCTCCCCTTAACACCACCAAACCTCCCCTTAAACACCACACCAACCTCCCCTTAAACACCACCAAATCCCCCTTAAACACCACGAAACCTCCCCTTAAACACCACCAAACCTCCCCCTTAAACACCACCAAACCTCCCCCTTAAACACCACCAAACCTCCCCCTTAAACACCACCAAACCTCCCCCTTAAACACCACCAAACCTCCCCATTGAAACACCACCAAACCTCCCCCTTTAAACACCAAACCTCCCCTTAAACACACCAAACCTCCCCCTTAAACACCACCAAACCTCCCCCTTAAACACCACACAAACCTCCCCCTTAAACACCACACAAACCTCCCCCTTAAACACCACCAAACCTCCCCTCCCCCTTAAACACCACCACCACCTCCTCCCCCTTCAAGCTCATCACAACGACAACTCGACCGGACCTTATCTTGGTGCAGGAGAACCTCGAGACCTCCCCCCTTCAACACCACCAAACCTCCCCCCCTCCCCCTTTAAACACCACCAAACCTCCCCTCCCCCTAACCCCCCCCCTCCCCCCCTTTTAAACACCACCAAACCTCCCCCCCCATCAAGCTCAACAACGACAACTCGACCGGACCTTATCTGGTGCAGGAGAACCTCGAGAGATGCACCAACTTCTTCGAGATGTCCTTTACGCCACAGTTGGAGAAGTGGAAGCAGGTGCCGGCGGCGTGGGAGTTGACGCGCTCGTAGTACACCTGAGGGGAAGAGAAGGGGGGGGAAGAGGGGGAAGAGGGGGGAGGAGGGGGGGAATGAGGGGAGAAGAGAGGGAAGAGAGGGGGGAATGAGAGGGGGAAGAGAGGGGGAGGAGGGAAGAGAGGGGAGAGAGGGAGAGGGGAGGGAGGGGAATGAGAGGGAAGTGGGAAGAGAGGGAATGAGGGGGGAGAGAGGGAGGAGGGGAGAGAGGGGAATGAGAGGGAAGTGGGAAGAGAGGGAATGAGGGGGGAGGAGGGGGAAGAGAGGGGGAAAGAGGGAAGAGGGAGAGAGGGGGAAGAGGGGGGAGAGAGGGGGGAAGAGAGGGAAAGAGAGGGAATGAGGGAAGAGAGAGGGAGGAGGGGAATGATGGGAAAGAGGGAGGAAAGAGAGGGGAGAGAGAGGGGAGAAAGGGGAATGAGGGAGAAGAGAGGGAAGAGGGGAGAGAGGGGAAGAGGGGAAAGGGCATTAGTTGTATGTCAACTGTTTGTACATTCTGCAATTTTATTATATACATATATATATATATATATATATATATATATATATATATATATATATATATATATATATATAATATACACACACATATACATATATACCTACGTATCTTCCAGCATGGCACCGACCAATCCTTATAATCTACCATAACTCACAGAAGAAAAGCAAAACTAAAAACTAAAAAAACACGAACTGGCCACTGGCACCACGAGGCCTCACAAAAACACGAAAAAAAAACACGAACTGGCACCACGAGGCCTCACAAAAACACGAAAAAAAAAACACGAACTGGCACCACGAGGCCTCACCTGGGTGCTCGTGTAGGCGTCTCCATTCCGATAGCGAGTCACGTGTCTGGATCTGCGTACGTAGTGGTAGCACATAGCCTTCCACCAGATCACGGGCTGGGCGGTCCTCATAGCCTCAATCATGGCTAGGACGTGGGCGGCGGGCGTGGTGTGGGTTATCTGTGGGCGGGAATGGGGGTTTTAGTTAGCACGTGGGGCGGTGGGTGTGGTGTGGGTTGTCTGTGGGCGGGAATGGGGGTTTTAGGTTAGCGCGTGGGGCGGTGGGCGTGGTGTGGGTTGTCTGTGGGCGGGAATTGGGGTTTTAGGTTAGAAAGTCGGGCGGTGGGCGTGGTGTGGGTTCTCTGTGGGCGGGAATTGGGGTTTTAGGTTAGCGCGTGGGTCGGCGGGCGTGGTGTGGGTTATCTGTGGGCGGGAATTGGGGTTTTAGGTTAGCGCGTGGGCGGTGGGCGTGGTGTGGGTTATCTGTGGGCGGGAATTGGGTTTAGGTTAGCGCGTGGGGCGGTGGGCGTGGTGTGGGTTATCTGTGGGCGGGAATTGGGTTTAGGTTAGCGCGTGGGGCGGTGGGCGTGGTGTGGGTTATCTGTGGGCGGGAATTGGGTTTAGGTTAGCACGTGGGGCGGTGGGCGTGGTGTGGGTTATCTGTGGGCGGGAATGGGGTTTAGGTTAGCACGTGGGGCGGTGGGCGTGGTGTGGGTTATCTGTGGGCGGGAAATGGGTTTAGGTTAGCACGTGGGCGGTGGGCGTGGTGTGGGTTATCTGTGGGCGGGAATTGGGTTTAGGTTAGCGCGTGGGGCGGTGGGCGTGGTGTGGGTTATATCTGTGGCGGGAATTGGGTTTAGGTTAGCACGTGGGGCGGTGGGCGTGGTGTGGGTTATCTGTGGGCGGGAATGGGGTTTAGGTTAGCACGTGGGGCGGTGGGCGTGGTGTGGGTTATCTGTGGGCGAGAAATGGGTTTAGGTTAGCACGTGGGCGTGGCGTGGTGTGGGTTATCTGTGGGCGGAATGGGGGTTTTAGGTTAGCACGTGGGGCGGTGGGCGTGGTGTGGGTTATCTGTGGGCGGGAATGGGGTTTAGGTTAGCACGTGGGGCGGTGGGCGTGGTGTGGGTTATCTGTGGGCAGGAATGGGGGTTTTAGGTTTAGCACGTGGGGGGTGGGCGGGTGTGGGTTATCTGTGGGCGGGAATTGGGTTTTAGGTTAGCACGTGGGCGGTGGGCGTGGTGTGGGTTTACTGTGGGCGGGAATTGGGTTTAGGTTAGCGGCGTGGGCGGTGGGCGTGGTGTGGGTTATCTGTGGGCGGGAATGGGGGTTTTAGGTTAGCACGTGGGGCGGTGGGCGTGTGTGGGTATCTGTGGGCGGGAATGGGGTTTAGGTTAGCACGTGGGGCGGTGGGCGTGGTGTGGGTTATCTGTGGGCGGAATGGGGGTTTTAGGTTAGCACGTGGGGCGGTGGGCGTGGTGTGGGTTATCTGTGGGCAGGAATTGGGGTTTTAGGTTAGCACGTGGGGCGGTGGGCGTGGTGTGGGTTATCTGTGGGCGGGAATGGGGTTTAGGTTAGCACGTGGGGCGGTGGGCGTGGTGTGGGTTATCTGTGGGCGGGAAATGGGTTTAGGTTAGCACGTGGGCGGTGGGCGTGGTGTGGGTTATCTGTGGGCGGGAATGGGGGTTTTAGGTTAGCACGTGGGGCGGTGGGCGTGGTGTGGGTTATCTGTGGGCGGGAATTGGGTTTAGGTTAGCACGTGGGCGGTGGGCGTGGTGTGGGTTATCTGTGGGCGGGAATTGGGTTTAGGTTAGCACGTGGGCGGTGGGCGTGGTGTGGGTTATCTGTGGGCGGGAATGGGGGTTTTAGGTTAGCACGTGGGCGGTGGGCGTGGTGTGGGTTATCTGTGGGCGGAATGGGGTTTAGGTTAGCACGTGGGCGGTGGGCGTGGTGTGGGTTATCTGTGGGCGGGAATGGGGTTTAGGTTAGCACGTGGGGCGGTGGGCGTGGTGTGGGTTATCTGTGGGCGGGAATTGGGGTTTTAGGTTAGCACGTGGGGCGGTGGGCGTGGTGGTGGGTTATCTGTGGGCGGGAATGGGGTTTAGGTTAGCACGTGGGCGGTGGGTGGTGTGGGTTATCTGTGGGCGGGAATTGGGTTTTAGGTTAGAAACGTGGGCGGTGGGCGTGGTGTGGGTTATCTGTGGGCGGAATGGGGGTTTTAGGTTAGCACGTGGGGCGGTGGGCGTGGTGTGGGTTATCTGTGGCGGGAATTGGGTTTTAGGTTAGACGTGGGCGGTGGGCGTGGTGTGGGTTATCTGTGGGCGGGAATGTGGGTTTTAGGTTAGCACGTGGGGCGGTGGGCGTGGTGTGGGTTATCTGTGGGCGGGAATTGGGGTTTTGGTTAGCACGTGGGCGGTGGGCGTGGTGTGGGTTATCTGTGGGCGGGAATTAGGGTGTAGGTTAGCACGTGGGGCGGTGGCGTGGTGTGGGTTGTCTGTGGGCGGGAATTGGGGTTTAGGTTAGCACGTGGGCGGTGGGCGTGGTGTGGGTTATCTGTGGGCGGGAATTGGGGTTTAGGTTAGCACGTGGGGCGGTGGGCGTGGTGTGGGTTATCTGTGGGCGGGAATTGGGTTTAGGTTAGAACGTGGGCGGTGGGCGTGGTGTGGGTTTATCGTGGGCGGGAATGGGTTTTAGGTTAGCACGTGGGGCGGTGGGCGTGGTGTGGGTTATCTGTGGGCGGGAATTGGGGTTTTTGGTTAGCACGTGGGCGGTGGGCGTGGTGTGGGTTATCTGTGGGCGGGAATTAGGGTGTAGGTTAGCACGTGGGCGGTGGGCGTGGTGTGGGTTGTCTGTGGGCGGGAATTGGGGTTTAGGTTAGCACGTGGGCGGTGGGCGTGGTGTGGGTTATCTGTGGGCGGGAATTACGATGGGTCTTTCGGCCTGTTTATTTTTAGATTGTGCGAATTCGGATCCAATGAATATTTATTATATGGACTTGCAATAAACAAAAATAAATACATATCTATCAGTCTAGACAGGTATATCTACTTTATAGATAGATATATGTATATCAGATAGATGGATATGTATTTGATTCAGTGTTATATGCGTGTCTGTTTAATGAGTATTCATTGGGTCGGGTCTCGTGCAGTTTTAACGAATTGGCTCTTTGTGTGATGTTTTTAGTAATGATACACACATACACTCACACAAACACACTTTTACATGCACACAGGAACACACACACTCACATACACATATACATACTCACACACACGCTCACGCACACACACACACATATACACATCCACACACACAAACACACACACACCACATCCACACACAC